CTTTTGAAGTCTGTGGGTCATTTTGTTTTCTTCTTATTGTATGTTGTTTCTAAATGAATTAGCTTCAAAGCTAATCTGTCACAGATTTAATTATGGTACGCAATCACGAGGGAGTTGCCTTTTCCCTGATACTGAGCAAGGAACTTTATTGAATAAGGAAGACTGTTGTGTACTTAATTCTAGTTTGGTCTTCCACTTTCTCTGTTTCACTGTGGAGCTACTACTTTTCGCTTTTCTTGCGGAAAGATTAAAGAAAAGGTATCTGGATGAAAAGAATGGTTGTATGTGTCTTCCTTGACCATAAGATTATGCCACACACTGAAAGTGGCAGAAATGATGTTTTCCACGCTTTACAGAAGAGGAATTGTATTCAAGTGTCTTGGATTCATCCTCCATGCTATCCTCACTACCACCTTAAGCCAAGCAGAGAGACTTATAATTTCTTAATTTCATCTTCGTGTACTTCTTTCTTCCCAAAGTCTTAGTACTTGGAGATGAACCTCTTGATGTTGATACTCCTGCTCTGCTCACAGACATGTTGTTGAGAGAGGTTCATCTGTGCCCAGCAGCACTTTCTTGCTGCTCTTTTTTCTAACCTCTCTTTTCTTTGCTTGATTTCAGGGCTGTTTTGTTACATTTTCTCTGATGAAAGGTTTGGGATTACTCCTTCCATCACTTTACTAACAGTATACCTACGGCTGCTCTTCTTCCCTCTGTAACTTGCTCTATAGCATCCTTTAGGTAGGGATGATTCGGGGAAATAGTAAATATTGCAATGTTTTCCTTGCTCTTGGCTCAGGGTTTGCCAGACCTTTATACAGATATTATATGGATAATGTTCTGTGTGAGTATTAGGAAAAGGTGAGAGGCTTGGTGAAAGTTGTGCTACTTTTTTCCCCCTGTTCTCTCTAGCTGTAGACAAGTAAGTATTTTCTCTGCAAACATGAAGTGGTACCTTCCTGCACCCCAAACCATTTGGTAAGTTGTGTTATTGATCTCTGAGGTGGTCACCCACATCTGGCTGTCTTGCTGGGAGGGATGCTCAAGAGTTTAAAGCCAGGAAGCAGTACTAGCTTTGCTTCTGGTAAACATGAAGGCAAGTTTATGCCCAAGTGCAGGATCCAAGGGCATTAAGCCACAAGATATTCCTTCTTCTTCTTCTTTATCTTACTTTTGCTCTATTTTTTTCCATCTTAAAAAAACAAAGTAGCATAAGTGGTCTATGCCACAGAAATATGTTTGTCACACTACATCACTTTGAACTGCATAACATCAAAGAAAATCAGTGCTTTGATAACTTGATTTGAAAGGATTGTAGAAATAGCCATCATTATGAATCACAACAGATAGGAATGGAAAAGATGGTGATTTTCAAACAGCAAAGCTTGTAGCATAAGGGAAAATGTAAGGTAGGTGCTAGTGTCGCATTCTCATCTAAAATACCCCAACCTTACAGCTGTTACGTAGCTTTGCAGAATATGATTTACTTGAGGATATGAAGAGGAATGAGAAATACTCTGTGTAAAAATGTGTTTCTGAGGAACAAGGAAACAAACGTGGGCTCAGAGAAGGGCTGGAATAACGGAGAAAGCAATGCATGCTTCTTGAGTAGGAACTTCTTCCACTTTCTCCTCTTTATAAAACCACTAGTTTAGTGAAATCAGTGTGTCCTGTCCCATCCTCATCCCCCAGACATGTAAGTGTTGGCTAGTGGGGAATGTTTATAAAGGTTTCAATGGCATTGAGTTAGGAGACTTCTGTCTCATTGAGACATAGCTTAACCATCAGCTGGTCCAAACACATTGAGCTAGAAAATACTACATGTCATTTAGCAGTCTCTGCTGCATCCCTTGTGAGGTGATGGCTGTGTGTAATGAATGCTAAAACTGGGGCTGGTTCAAGTATAAAGACAGATGCTTCAGTGCTTTTCAGTGATAGGAAATTCAGAGACAACTAGTGAGGAGAAAGATTCAGACCCTTCACTTTTTAGGAAGACTGGAACAGAAGAACATGCTGTACTGAAGTATTGCTAACACAAACATCCTCTCTTGAGGGCTTGTTCTCAATTAGCTTGGGAAATGGGAACATTCTCTTTCATAGATTCTTTCATCTTGCTCCATGAGGAGAGAAGTGGGCATACTTCTCTGTTTCCTTTACTGAGGGGCAAGATTTACCTCTGTTGTGCTTTTAAAAAGATGGACTCCATAGCAACATGTTGTGTGAGTACCTTCTGCAAGCATCTTCTAGGGCTACTAGTCAGACAAATGTCATGTCAGACAAAGAGGACTAGAATTTCGTGTCTAGTCAGCTGTTCAAAACCTTCACCTTTATGCATGAATGTATTTTAAAAATTGAAATAATAGTTCTGTGTGTACTACAGAGCGCTGATACTGAGCTTACTACCAGGGATGACTGCTAACTTCATCCGTAACAGCATAGTGGAGCAGAACTGCATGGAAACTCTTTTAACTGACTAGTCAGGAAACTGCTTTTTAAAAAAAAATAAAAGAACTTTTTAAAAGTTCTTTAAATAAAAGGAAAGGAAAGGAAAGATGGGAAAATGTGTACTTTGCACTGACCGAAATATGAAGTTGTTGGCTCCTAAGTTCTGATCTCAAGCCATAGTCATAGGTCATCTTTTTTTGTAACACACTGCTGAATTACTTGAATTGACTTTACCCTTATAAAAGGCATGCCTGCATTCTTTCTGCCCTAAAAATGTTGCTTTGCAAAAAGTTCTGCTAATATCTACCACTAAAAAAATGATTCGTACAATGATAATAGTTTACAGTCATAATGTTTGGGTTGTCTGTTTGGTTATGAGCTAAGATGAGATCACATTTTTGCATTATGTATATTGAGTTATTCCACTTGAGATATATGTTTATACTTATGATCTGATCTAGAGAATGGTAAAGGAGGAGACATTAACATAAGTATCTCTTTCATTAGCTGACCTGTTTATGTATTTACCTTTTTCAAGAAACTGCATATCCTTACTTCAAAAAAATGGAAAGAGAGATGGAGACAGGACATGTCCCACACTGATTCACTTGATAGTGTGCATTACAGAGATCAATAGCTGAATGGCTCTGGAGTGTGGAAGAAGAGGAAGTGAACTAACTCCATTGGTCAGATTGCTCTAATTGTTTTGATTAGAGCAGAGGGGACATGGTAGCGTCAGCTAATGGGGAGAAGGAGGAATTCGATGTATGGCTAGAGTAGCTGAGCTGCAATCTCTTCTTAAATCAAGATAACTTCTACTGGTGGAAAAAGATACTTCCAGTGTGAGAAGTTACGTAATTGCACTAAACAAAATCAGTTGTTTGATTGGGGCTGTTTAGTCTGGAGAAGAGGAGGCTGAGGGGATACCTTATGGCTCTCTACAAATACCTGAAAGGAGGTTGTAGTGAGGTGAGTGTTGGTCTCTTCTCCCAGGTAACAAGTGATAGAATGAGAGGAAATGGCCTCAGGTTGCACCAGGCGAGGTTTAGATTGGATATTAGGAAAAACTTCTTCACTGAAAGGATAGTTGAGCACTGGAACAAGCTGCCCAGGGAGGTGGTGGAGTCACCTTCCCCGGTGGTATTTAAAAAACGAGTAGATGAGGTGCTTAGGGACATGGTTTAGAGGTGGATTTGATAGTGTTAGGTTTATGTTTGGACTTGATGATCTTAAAGGTCTTTTCCAACCACTACAATTCTGTGATTCTAATTATACTGACAGAAGCAATCAGCCAGTCGACTTCTGCCTGAAAACCTCTGTTTAACCAGTACTTTTGCTGTAAAAGTGATGTATAAGGATTCTGCTAATCAGCATTACTAACCAGCTCCAGCAGAGACTGTCTGAGCATACAGCACATGTCAGAGTGGGGCTCTGGTGCTAATTGTGTCTATAGCTGTAAATGTCATATGGGGACACTAGCATTTGAAGAAAAAGCAGAAACACCGTCACGTGTGCTGTGTCAAAGAGGTGTTAATAACAACCGCAGACATCTCATTATATCTTATCCAAACATTTTTAGCCTTGCTTCCTGAGCAGGTTGTTTAATGTGACTGTGCTATCCGTCTTCAACCCTCTGCTCTAATATTATTTGAACCTGGTGGCTCGTTTTAGCCACAGTTGAGAGAAAGGCAGAGGTGTCAAATACATTGAGTTTCTATGTGTTTTGTGAAAACAGGTGGTCTGGTGAAGGACAGCTCTGCATTAATTCTTTCCAACTAAAGCAGCAGCTTTTTAATACATTGTTTTACCCCAGGGACTCCACACCAGAGGGCATGGGAAGAGGCAAGGGATCCAGCTGTGAAAAAAGTATCAGGCAGACCTCAGACCTTGTAAGACACGGGGTAATCCAATCGTAAGGAAAAAAAAACGTGCAGGAAACTGAGCTGTGTCACTGCTGCTAGTCAAGGACTACTTGTTCTCAGTGTGACAACTGCTCACAGTTATTATTCATCATCTCACTGTGGTTTGCCTTGGCTGTGCTAATTCTGTGGCCAAATTCTACATGCCAACTCAGCAACCCTCTGGCTGACAGCAGGAACTAGCTTGTGCTCCTTCAGGCAACCAGTGCTGGCCTATTCTGTTCTGGGGAAAATGGGAGCTGTCTGGAGTGAGCACACAGTAGTTCCATGGTCTGGTGTTTTCTGTCTTAAGTTTCAGGTCATGGTTTTTAGATGGCCACGGCTTTTAAATGCCCAATGTCTCAAAGCTGATCTTTTGCCTTTGTTTCTTGAGAAGCTCCAAGTATCCTTTGACTGCTCTCTGAACTCTTTATCATAGATGCCCAAATTAGTATATGCTTCTTCAGTGCTAGTCTAAGAATACTGATATTTATTCCTCTCTTTTTAGGGAATGAGAAATGACTCATTGGTAAAATAAATAAGTAACATGTAAAAAGGGTCTCAGATGGGCGAATAATTATTTTTCTTATTGTATCCTGAGTGTGTACCTCTGGTATGGTGTACAAACCCAAACTTTTTCCCCTCTCTCTTCTCCAGGCTGTCAGCGCTCCATAGGCTTGTCCAATGGGAAAGCCAAGGTATGCAGCTACAGTGGCTGGTATTACTGCAGCACCTGTCACGTGGATGACAGCTTCCTCATCCCTGCGCGGCTGGTTCATAACTGGGACACCTCCAAATACAAGGTAATCTCCCTGCAGGTTGGCTTGCTAGCAAGTAAAGTGAATTGCTCTTCAGATAGAAACACAAACATTGCAACAGGCCGAAGGTTACAGGCATTGACTGCTAATACTGTCATCCCCTTTGTCCCTCTTGCTAGAAGGAGCCATGCTTTCTCCACAAGACAGATGTTTTCATTACTGTTTCCTTAGCCAGGCCTAAGGTGTTCATCCACAGGGGCAGCCGTGCTCCTCTTTCTTCTTGGAATCTTTTCCATCATTGCTTATCTGGTTGTTGAAGAGACAGGGAAGGACAGAACACTGAAACCTCTCTTTTAGTGCTAATCTTGGCAGTTATTGGGCCCTTGAGGAGTACCTGTTTCAAGAGCACCAAGGACTATGGTTTGGCACTGCTTGGTGATAGATGCTAAGTTGTGAAAATGCCCACAAAAAAATGGCATACCCAAATGTGGTGTTTGCAAGGCCCAGTATGTCCTGTCTTTTGGCATGGGTATTTTGAGGACACTAGAAGGACATTGCTGTAGCACTTGTTTGGACTAGACGGCCGAAAGTAACATGAAGAGAAAATTCTACAGTTGTTCATTTGCCACACAAGCAGCTTTTCTAAAACTTCAGTAATCTGCTATTTGCTGCTGCCTCAGTGGCTCGTTGCTAAATAGGGGCAACTAATTACATGCCTCAAAGCATTATAGCAGCAAACACGGTAGCAGTGTTGTTTTACCATCTTGGGGGGCATATGCTAAAACAGTAACATACTCATAAGGAATCCAGACCATGGCAGAGCTTCAGACCCAGCAGCCACTGTTAGGAGAGGCTGTTTGATGTTTTGTGTCTGCCAATATTATTATTATGGGCTATTTGAAAAGGAAAAAATAACCAGTAAATGCTCTATTAGAGGAAAAGCAGCTCTCTTGAAGAAGAAAATTTGTGAGATGGGGAGATTATTAAAAGATAGCCAGAGCCTGCCATCAGGAAAATGATAGTCTTGCACCATGAAATTCAAGATTCTTCATAGTTACAAAGCTCCTACGTGTGGAGACAAAACCCTCTCCCTTTTCTAGAAGCTAGGAATAAATATTTAAGAGTTCTTTCTTTGGGTGCTTTTACCAAGGACTAAACTTGCTAGCCCACAGTACCGTATGTAGTCCTGATATGGCACAAGTGGATGGTAAGGCAAAGACCTCGTATCAAGCTGGTAGTAATACTGCCAAGAAAATAAATTGTTTTGTTTTCTAAACCTGCAGGGTAAAAACTATGCTCTATGCTCTATTTCTGGTGGTCTTGGTATAGGCAGTTGAGGCACAAAAGGAAATGGGACTTTTAAACTTAAGCATTCACTGAAAACCTAATCTAATGTAATCTCACTATAATAGTGACAAGTTATCAGTTTTAACTTCTTGTAGACAGGCTATGGGGGGACTTGGGAGCACAAGCGACTCCTGTGCAGATACTTTAGCAGCCTCTGTGTTAAAGTGCTTAGAGAGGTGGATTTAAGAAAGGAACACCATCCCTTAGGCAGGAAAACACTACAGCACCCCCAACTATTAGAGCAGAAAGTAAGGCAGGAAGGGAAAGTAAAGAGGACATCACGTGCCATAGTGGCAGTGTGACAACTGAGCTAAAATCACTGGTTGGATCTCCTCAACTCCATCCCATCTACGTATAGCATTAACGTGCCAAGTAGTTCTTGTTACTTTTGTGTAATCTTTGGGGTTGCCCCCTTTCTGCATACACATGCTTTTATTTCTGTCCCTGATATACCTCCAGTAGTTTTCTGGAGGTAGGAACTAATCAGTAGTTTTCTGAGGCAGAGCACATATTGCCTGCACTTTTACATCTGCATCTCCTTTCTCCATTCAGAGATAAGGTCTGACATTTCTTTCTTCTGTATGGTCTAAAAGGCAACTTAGTGCTGGCTGCTGCACTTCATAGTTACAGTGAAACTGCATGATTCCTTAGTAGTGTATCAATTAAATGTGCTGATTTGGCAAAGACAGATATCTTGTCCCACTTCCTTGAAGTGATCTCAGTAGTAATTATTTTCTTTGGGCTCATTTTTAAAGGAAGATCACTTAATTTGTCAGCATTTCACCTCCCGTAATTGGCCAGTGTGCCCACGCAAAGCCGTTCAGCAGTGTCCCAAAATAAAGCTGAACAACAGAGCTTCTCCTAAATGCACAGCCCTGCCCCTCACAGGGAGCGCAGCAATGCCTGGAAGTGGAGCTGCTGCGGTGGGTGACTTGCTTCTGGCTGGACTCATAGCGTAGCCCAGAGTGATCCTGCAGGAAATAAGCACGTACCACATTTGATGGTCAGAACTGCAGCAGGGCTTCAGTCTTCAAAAGCTTCTGTGTTTCACGCAGTCTGAAATGTGCCTGTCAGTCCACCAAATGGAAGGAAAATGAAGGAAGAGTTTGAAAACCTGCACTCCTTCCCACCAACGCCCTTTCCCCGCCTCTGCAGGGGTTTCTGGGATCTGTCGTATCCGGCTCTGGCAAAGCAAGCGCCAGTATGTACTCTAGGACATGTGGTTTTATGGTGATGCAGTGTAATTGGGCATGTTTCCCTTTAATGTCTCATGGACTCCTAGACATCTGAGCAGCAGCTGTGAACTGTTGCATCAGTCAAGTAAGTTTGCAAATAGAGTGGTTTTTGTCTGCTTTTGGCAAGATGGGTCTTGAAAAAAAACAGAAGCAGTAGAAATCTGTAGGGTTGTGCCTTCCCGTACTCAGGATCTTGAAGAACAGCAATGCACTTAACACCTGAAAGCGCATGGGTAGGAAAAGAAAAACCCTCTTGACTGCAGTAAAAGCTCTTTGAAAGGACTTGGCAGTTAGGCATGTTTCTTCTGTCATAACCAAAGCAGCAATTCATCCCCAGGTTCACAGTTTTTTTCCTGTCTCCTTACTGTTTTCATATTTGCATTTTTCACGTGTTTTTATGAAAGGAAAAGAAAAGAGGCAATCTTGTGAATATCCTTTCTTCCTTTTACTTAGGCCAACTGTTTTCCCTGTTTGCATGCAAAAACCAGTAAGTATTGCAGTTTGGTTCAGGTGGCTTCCAGTGCAAAATGCCAGACAAACACAGCAGGAAATGAACTCCCCATGCCAGAAGGCTTCAAGGGAAGCTGAATTCTGGTAAATTGAATTCTGAACTGTAAGTTTGCAGTCTCTAGAAAATAAAAGTCTGGAAATGTTAGCATCCATCCTTGTATGACATTTAAAGCTAAAACCCTGTTGCAGATCACATTGTATCACTCCTCCTGGCTTAATTTAGGATTGTCTTTTGTGCCAAATAAAATTGGGGTACTGTGTGTATGCTGGTATATGTACTAGAATATTGACTGCTAGCACGTTGAGTTGTTGTAACTGCCTGACCTTTCCCATTATAAGATGCATCTCATCTTCTTGTAACTTTGCGATGGTTGGCAATGTGAGTTAATGTTTTAAATGACCATTGGGCCTGCATCAGGCATGCAGAGTGAACCAACACCTACCTGTCAGCCAGTCATGCTGGGCAAAGCTACTTTTCCTGCAATCAGCACTCCACAGGTACATTGTATCGGCAAGGAGAGAGAAAGGTTTGCTATGCTCTTCTCTCCTCAAAGGCTGCGTTCAGACCATGCAGCACTAGAGCTGCACAGTAATGGTTTGTCATCGTGGTGCACATGTATTGCAGAGTCACTTGGGTGACCTCAATTCTGGCATTTTTTTGTTTCTGTACTCTTAACTTTGCAGGCTCAGGAGGGTTGCCCTAGACAAGGTACAAGTGTGCACAGGTGTGGGTGTAGTACTTGGATAGTAATTGCCCTCTGGTTCCTGAGACAGCAGGGCAGGTGGATGAGGAGCCTGTCACTTCAGCAGGGGTTTAAAGCAAGGCAGTAAGACTACAAAGAAGACTGGGCAGCAGGTCCTCCTGATGGGAAGTGCTGGTTGCTGTTCCAAGTATTCATGTGCCTCCTAGGGAACCACTGAATATGTGGCTTAATTTGAGTATTGGTGGAAGAGGAATATTATTTATTATAGACACAGCAGTTGTCAGGGGATTGCTGAGATATTATGGCCAAATAGTTTAATGATTGTAAAAGCAGGTTGTTTAACTCTTTTGTGCACGGCAGTTCGCACGTCTAATAAAACATCAGTGTTGCTAGTGTTAGAAAACTTGACGTATTTGGAGTCTGTAGAGTTTTGTTCTACAAAATCCAAGTTGTCTGTGCTGCTCCTTACACCGCATGTTACCTGTGTTTCCATTCAGACAGTGCAATTCCTTGTATGTGCATTATTTAAAAAAAAAAAAAAGAGAAATAAAGTAGTGAGATATTTAGTACAGCTCCAAGGTCTGGAGAAGCTGTGGAGTTACAATCTGCTGTATTTAAAATTACACATTGTATTCTCTGTGTAGTTATTGGTGGGAAGGAAGGCCTTGGCATTATTTATATTTTTATTATGTATTGTGAAAAGGTTACATTTGGGGTGGGCTTTCCCTGTAGGTAGCTAGTGACTCCTATAGCCAGTAACTAGTGCTGGTTTTGGAAGTGGTGCTATTTATAAGGATGTATATTGCTTTTACCTACTTCCTGCCTTAGAGCACTGGAAGGGAAATAACATCCTAAATCTGAAGACGCTATGGTGTGCCCTTTTTCCTTTTGTTAGCTTAGTTCATTCCTCCCTCAACTCAGTGTAAACAGTGATTTAAAGGTCCAGGAGGACTAACTGAATTGTGGAACATAGTATTTCTGTAGCACAATTTCAAGTGATTTGCAGCTCATTTCAGATAATCCCATCTTTTCTTTTTCAGCAGTGATAAAATGCAGAAATAAGGAAGGAGATGGAATTTGGCCTTCTCACCTCAAAAACGGGAGTATCTTTTCTAGTAGGAACAAAAGGCCCATTAATTTATAAAGATTACAGTAGCTCTTTGCAGGTGGAGATAGAACAGAGCACTATCATGAGAAAGGCATGAGAAAAACTTCTTGCAGATGAAACATTGGGAGCGAGTAATACCAGTAAAATTCAACTTTAATTGTATTTGAAAAACCACAACTTGATAGATGTGTTTCTGATTTATTTATTTTTTTTACATAATTTTAATCATACTGGCTGAGCATGAAACAAATGGGAGTAGTACTTTACACTGGAGTTCTATTCCCTGAGATGGTACAATATGGTTGGATGTGCAATGTGTATGTTTCTTGTTCTAATGTTGTGCTTTGACACTTACCTAATCACTTGTTTCTTGACAAAAAGAAAACAGTGAACTAACAGAAAAATATTAACAGGGGAGAAACTTGGTAATTGAGTTTTCAGACTTGAAAAACATTTAGTAAGCTGTGTTACCCTGCAGTGAAAATATGTGGCTGCAAATATTGCTGTGCTTTGGGTAAGCAAGTATTTATCTTGTACTCCCAATGTTGATGGGCTTGATGAAGTTTGGCTTGGCTATAAACAGAGGCAGTTGGGTCTCTCTCAGCTCTGTCTTCATCTGTAATAGGTAACAGAGTAAGTTTTCAGATGCAGAGAATAGCTGACAGATCACAGAGAGGAAGATCTGCTTAAAAAGAGTTGGAAGGAAATCCTAGGTAAACTGGTTGCTTTATTTTTCAGGTATCAAAGCAAGCCAAAGAGTTCCTGGAGTATGTTTATGAGGAGCCACTGATTGATATCCAGCAGGAAAATCCCATGTTGTACAAGCATGCTGAACCTCTAGCAACTGTTGTTCGCCTGAGACAGCAGCTAAAATCTCTCCGAGCCTATTTGTTCAGCTGCAGAGCAGCAGTGGCTGAAGATCTGCGTAGAAGGTAAGAACCACAGACAACATACAGCACAAAGGAGAACAGCAGCATGCCAAATTTTTTTTTTTTTCTTTCTTGCAATCTAGTTCTGAAGACGTTACCTGTTTAGAAAGATGTTATGCTTGTATCTGACTTCCCTGGGTAATCTACTGCCAAAGGAAATGGTTTTATAGGGTCTGAATGTCTGAATATCTGTAGTTGTTCTTGACACCTACTAGCCCAAGGGTCACACATTGTGATGAGCATCTTTTACTCCAGTTCAGGCTTCCTGGCTGTGCATGAGTATTTTCAGTCAGATGTGATACCTCATGCTCCCTGCCGTGGCATCACAGTGTGGTAGCCATTGTTGGAACCTTTGAAACACCTCACAGTATGGCAACACATGAGAGAAGCCAGAGTCAACCACCTGTCCAGCACTTCTGCCCTCTTCTGTGATATGATCTCACACAAAGGCAGAGACCAGATGTAGTCCCCTGGCACATGACCCAGCATATTATTTATGTGACACGAGAGCAGTTGTGCTCTTGCTTAGCTACTGTCTTTCCCATCCATGACATGGGTATGCTGAGTGTTTTGTTTATTGAAAAACACATGATCACAGAAGGTATTTCATGTTGAGTTTTCTGTGGTGGAAAGAGTAGTTTTATAAAAAGTTAGCTTCATTTTAGAAGTACTGTATCTTAGTCCATTCAGCTGCTGCTGCATTTTTCTAACAAGCCAAAAATGAACAATCTTCTTAAAACCATCAAGCCATAGTTGTGACCTTAAAAAAGCCAAGTTACTTTTGTTGTGGATCTCCAAAAGAGATGGGGAGATGTCTGTGCCCATGCCGTACTGTGAGGTGAGTGGCTCCAGGCACATGCAGCTGATCTGATGGTAAATGCATTTGTAAGCATTTGTGTCCTCCAAGTTGGTAAGCGAGACAAGACCGCAAATAGGAAAGCCACTGCTTTGGAATGATGAGCTGCCAAAGGGCAAGAAAGCAGATGACATCAGTGACTGTATTTTGGGCATGGTGTTTTAAGGATGGGCGACCTGAATTCTCTGTGAGGGAGAGGAGGCTGCATTAGTGTCTTTATCCCAGGTAAGGAGTGAGGCAGTCTGCTGTTCAGTATGTAACCTTTGTCATTGCTTTGATGAACTACCTAGAACAACTAAGAGAAGGATATAACAACAGGTTTCTGGAGAGCTCAGTTGGGTTCTTGTGTCAAACCCACTGTGTGTTAATATGAGTTTGTGTCTTACTGCTCAATTCCTATTATTTCATAGGGCAGCTTACAGCATTTTGAAAATTAGGATGATTTTTCTTTTATTCTACAGGATATTATCTTGCAGAACTGTTTTGCTGTTCAGCTATAATAACTTCCCTATGCCATCCTCTTCAACTGCAGTAAAACTAAAAGGAGAATAAGATTTGTGAAGGTTGCCGTTCAGAAAAAGTGGCAGAAAAGAAATTATGCTTTCTGATTAATGCTGAAGAAAAGAGTGCCCTGATTAAAATAGACAGGAGCACCCAAGACTGAATGGACTTGGGGAAGAGAGTGAAAGAGGAGAGATCAAAGGAGGCCTAAGCAGAGAAATCAATGGACTAGAGACAAAGGGATGAGGGAAAGCCAGGAGAAGGAGGAGCCTCAAAGAGGGAAGGGATCTTAGGAAATTAAGAGTTAATTAAGAAACTAGGACAAAGAGGGAGCCCAAAAACTTACCTCCAAAGAGAAGAGATGATAAGTGCTGAGGAAATGGAGAATGGACAAAAATTAGCACAGAATGATCTTTTCCTTGGGGCGGGGAGGAAAGAGAAAAAACTCCCTGTATCAAAATGAAACAGCCAGAATGGGAGAAGGGGAAACTGGGAAATACTCCAAATGCTCACTTTTCTTACCTAAGGGTTCCTTCACATTGTCTCCAATTAAAGCTCTCTCTGGTGGAGAGGAAGACCCAAGCCCAAGAAGGCTTTATTTTTGTATTAGGGAAGCATCTTCAGTTTGGTAGGACTTGTTAAAAGTGCTGTAAAAGCTACTGAAGGAATATACAAAAGACACCTTAGAGTCCAGCTCCTTCTTGGTCTGTGAAGTCTCTGTTGGGGTGGGTTTGGGGCTCAGTTGCTCCCTCAGGCTTGCAGAGATGAAAAGGAAGAAAAGTTCTTTTCCCAGAAAGAGTTATTCCTTGCTCAAACCAGTTCCAGTGGCGTTGCATTCTGCATGTAGTATCACAGTGTGCAGACATTCACTATCAATGTGATGGCTTTATGGAGCAAAGCTGAAAAGTATATAAAGTATGTGATTTAAATTTCCCTTTGGCTCATCGTACGGGCAAGTTGCAGAAAAGGAGGAATTTAAACGCTATGGTGAGACAGCATTCCTAAATTTAGTACTGTTTCATAGTTGGAAATGAAAGGCTGGGGGAGAGAATCCAGTTATCTGTCCTGCTCCAAAAACATTCTTTTTCTGCTTGGTCTTCACCTTAGTATGTGAATGACTATTAATCACAAGAAAGTGAACACAGCATCTTGAAGACCTGTCAGACCCATATAAACAGACTGAAACAAACTGTTACTATTGCTGTCTAGGGAGAACTTAAAACAGACTGATTAATTGTATTGGCACCTTGCTGCCTTTGGGACACTGATAGAGCCTACCTTATTAGGGAAAAGCAGATCACACTGAGGTTTCTTTTATTAATACTATTTGCATTATCATCTTCTTTAAATTTATACCTTGCTCTTGAACCCAGATCGCAAAATGAAGATGACCATGGAGTTGGAAACTCTTGGTGTCCTCTGGGAAGACAAAACTGTTTACAGTGCTTACAAGTCACTTTTTCTGAAGAATTCCAGATGGCTATAAACCAGGTTAGCTCAGGATCCAGTTGGCTTAAATGTGGAAATGTTATTTATAATGCTTGGTGTGCATAGATAGGTACTTTGGGAACTTTGAAACTTGGCATCTAGCAGAGAACTCGGGGCTAAACCACACTGTGAACTTTGAAGAAACAAGTGACTAAGTAGAAAGAAAGGAAGGAAAAAAGGAAGAAAGGAAAAGAAACAGAAGAAATCCTAAAAGTAGCTAGAAGGCTCACAATAAAAGTGGTATTCATCATCAGTTATAATGATTTGTTCTCACCTATTGTTCCACTGGATTCTAAGCTCTTTTTATATTTGCAAGGGAGAAAAATAATGGAACTCGGTCTTGGCTGGGAGGGGAAATAAGGCCCTCCACCGGTGCGTATCAGCAGCGTTCCTCTGAGATTAGCCAGCTGAGACTCTGAGCCTGTTGTTGAGCTCCCTGTTTTACAAGGGACCTTGTTATGCCTAGTTTGCTGTGGCTGTCACCTCAGTATTGCAACAGATGTAATTTACCTCAAATGTCTTTACTCAACAAGTTCTTGCTTGTTTTAGTTGCTTTGCCTGTGTGGATGCTGTTCAGGCAGAAACATACAAGACTGAAACCTAAAGCCAACATAGAATTAGTACAAGTGGAGCTGTACAGATCCCACCACTGCCTGCAGATTGTGGGATGATGAATGAATGGCACTGGCAAACAAGATGAAGTCAATAAAATTCATAGTGAGGAAAGAGCAAGAATCAGTCCATTAAATAATGAGGTTATTCTGTTAAGCGATGCTGCAAGTTTTATTCTGAGTTTGCTTTCTTGCTTTTATCTCTACACATAAGACATGCTGACAGTGTGTTGGTATGTCACAGCCTCTTTTCCTCTGTTCTTGTCATAGTTGAAGGCTCCTCAGGTCAAGGGACTGTCAAAATTTTTTTGGGGGTGGGAGAAGTCTTCAGGCACCTCCATGTCTACTTTAGGGTAGGCTAACTCGGGCCCAATGTTGGAGCTCTCTCTGGGCTCTCTGTTCTCTCAGCTGTACACCTAAACTGGCAGTTCAGGTGTTGCTAGCCCAGATATTTTAGACAGATGGCAGTGACACAAGGTAAATGTTCTGCAGCACGTTCCCCTATACATTAGTGCTCATTGCAGTGCCCTCGCTCTGTAAGTAAATCTCCTGAATGGTGGTGAGAAGCTATATGGAAAAATTTCCCTCTTGTTACTCATCGCTGTTTGATACCATTTGTCTATCAACTCCAGATCAGCAGTGCATCAGTTTTACCCTAGCAAAACTCCAGTGTTGGATACATTACTTAGCATCTTACAGGAAGACCAAATTAGAGCTTGCTGTTGCAGCAGGAGGTTAAAGGTACACCTCCAGTGCCGCAGATGTGTGGTCCTGGCTGAGCCTGCTGGTCTGTCAGCACGATGCGAAACAAGCCCAAATTCAGTTATGCTGAACAATAGAGTCCTGTCACTTCCTACAGTGAGGCCTTAGACATATCACTTCTGACACAGGAGTAGATTACTTTCAAAATATTTGTGTGGCAATTGGGGAACCTGTCTAAACACATCACAGGAATCCTGATTGATCTTATGCAATCACTATACCACCAAATACCTCATGTATGTGAAGCTGGGGCTATGTCATCTTTCAGACCAAGGACAACAGAAGGTCATTAAGTCATGTCCAAACTGTCAAAGGAGACTGTTTCCTCCATTTTCTTTGCAATGGGTAGGCCATTTGGAGAGTGGAAAATCCCAAAGCAGGAGAACAAAGACATGACTTGTGAAAGCAGTAGACTGCAACAAGAGAGCTTGAGCAGGGAAGGAACAGAAGGATGTGGTTCATAGCACTTGGGACTCTGAGTTAATGGCAAGACTAACAGAAGAAAATTTGTTGCACGGGTGATTGGAAAAGAGGGCAAGAGAGAAACTAATTCAAAGAGAGTATCTGGATATCCTGAGAAGATCCAGTGTTAAGACCAAACAACACCCCAAAGTGAGGAAAGACAAGAAAATAATGCAGAAAAGTATGCACGAGCCATCTGTTGTTTTATATAGAACCTGAATGCGTGTGGTCATTGCAGTAGGTGAAATAAAGCATTGCCTGTTGATGGAGCTCTGACGAACTGACCACCTCTTTGCTTCAGCTCCTGTGTCTTTTTGAAGAAG